ACTTGCGCTGCAATCGCGGGCGAAGTGGCCTGACTTTCCACATTTAAAACAATTGCCAGAGCCATGTTTTTTCTCGCCCAGCAGTTGGATAATCTTCTTCAGCATTTCATTTGTCTCGTCCGGTGTTTCCACTTCCACGCGATGTGCTTTGTAGGCTGGTCTACTTAGGAGCGCCGCCGTTTCACGCGTCTGAGCATACGAGACGGTTTCAGCAAATGTTGCCTTTGGATTCGCGTACGTCTCTCGCTTGGTATACATGTCCCGCATTCCGTTGATGAACCTCTGGATTTTTACCCTTTCAAGGTGCTCACCAGATGCGTCTCCTATTGCCAAATGAGCCAGCCTTTCAATCTCAGAGGCGAATTCCTATAAAGTCTCGTTGGATTTCTGGCAGCGATTCACCAGTTCTATCTGGTAGATCTGTCGCCTGTGCTCGCTACCATAGCGTCTTTCCACGGCCCCCATCAACGCATCATAATTGTTCCTTTCACAGTCGGGAATAGTCTGCAAGATTTCCGCTGCAGGTCCTTTTAATGCCACGAACAGAGCAACGGATTTATCCTCCATGCTCCNCTCGCCCATCTTAGCCTCGACTTTGTCCTGTCTCTCTTCGATTTTTTCCTGTATTTGTACAATCTTTGCATCCTGTGCTTCCAGTTGGGATGACATCTGTGCTGATACCGCTGCTGATATACGTATCTCCAGCGCTTGTATCTGCGATGAAACATCTGACGACTATGTTTGCATCTGAGTTGACAGCTGTGACGACATCTCTGACATGCGTGTATCCTGTGCTTGCATCATCTGTGACATGGCAGCCAATAACGTGTTCATGTCCATAACTGTTGATGACGAAGGAGCCTTTTGCTGTTCTTCAACCTTCCCGGATGTCTGTTGCACATCCTTCGACGAACATGCAGCCTCATCCTTCTGTTCGTCCTTTGCGGATGTATCGTCGGGTTTACCTTGGAAGTCGTATTTGTCCACGTCGATGCCTTCAGCTTCCATAGCCTCTCGCAACCGGGATAACAATTCCACTTTTCTTCCGGAGGTGGCCAAATTACGCTTTTCCAACTCCTGTTTCAGCTCCTCAATTTTTAAGTACTGAATTTTCGCCATTTTTGGTAGTTTCTCCTTCGGGATTTATTTAACAATCCCACTTCTGACACCAATTGTTACGATTATCCTTGAAACCTCGTCCGGATTTCCCAAATCTCTCGGTTCGTATC